GGGGGTGGGGTTTTGCCGGCAGAGCATCCTGCCTCCCATTCCCGAACACCGACAAGGCTGGCCCTGGGGCCCAGCTCCAGCTGGGGGAGCGTGAGAAAAGACTGGAGGGGTTGCGCCGAGCTGTGGGCGGGGGGAGCTGTCCTGGGAGGGGGTGTCTGACTGGCAAACACACTCTGGGCGCCAAGCCCAGTGTCGCCTCAGTGGGAATGTAACTCCCACACTAACAGGCAGCAGTCCAAAAGCCTGTCCAACAGCCCTGTGGTGCGGGCCAGCCTCTCATGTCTCCAGATAGACCCCATTGCTGGACTAAAAACAAAGTCAGAAGCTTAGAAGAAAATGGAGCCTGGTGCTGAGACCATACTCTGAAGGGGGCTGGCCCTCCTGGAGTGGGTTGAAGGGCTGGGAATCAGTCATCCCAAAGCCAGCGATCTCACCGGAGTGGGCACGAGTTGGCAATGCCAGCCTGCCAGAGAAGCATCTGGTGCAGCTCGTTACAGGAGAGACGTTCTGTGCGGTGGTTGGGCCCCTCTCAGCCCTGAGAGTTCGGTGCCCTGGCAGCGTGCAGGAGCCACAGAGGGGGACCGGGCACCAAGCACACTGGGGGAGTGGGCTCGGGGTGGTGCCATTCAGCCCGGGGGACCAGGTGGAGCTTGGCGGGACGTGCCCTAGAGGTGGGCGGCTGCTGATGCGAGAGTTGGCAGCTCTGGTGGGGAAGTTTAAGTGGGTTTCCCTCCTTCCCTCTCTCCTCCTTTACCTTGTTTCCTGGGTACCCCTGCTGTGACTTCTCCCCCTCCTCTCAAATCTGGCCTCTTTGGGTACCCCCCATCTGTACAGACCCCCTGTAAATAATAATCCATTAGCCCTGTATCACTGGGTAGAGATATTAAGAGCCCACCCTTTCACCTTGGGACGACTGTAAGTTATTCCAGCCCAGAATGACAGTCCGTATCCAACCCTTAATAAACGTAGAAACTCTCCGTGCTGCTTTTGGTCTGTTCATCCCCAAACGAGGAAGGAGCTGAGCTGAAACAGGCCCTGGTTTCTCGAGAACGGTGGCAATGCTGCCATCGTCTCTCATGGGGCATTGGGAAGAGAACCCTCTTCGAGGGCAGCCCTGCATTAAGGCTGCCAGCGCTTCTTGCTCCTGAGGGAGGGGTTTGCTCGGCCCAGGCGGCCCCTGCTTTGGGGAGACCCCCAGGCTGAGCGGAAAGCAGCAGGAGCCTCTGCTCACAAAGGTAGATCCTTCCTGAGGGCGGATGCTCAGTAACCATGGAAGAGCTCTTCTGCTTCTCCAGGAGCGCCGCGGTCGCTGCTCCCCCTTTTAATCAAAGCACCTTCACTCAGGCCTTCCCCCGCCCTGCCTAGTAGCAAGGGCTCCCCTCTGCAGCGCCCCCTCCCTGGGCAATAGCGCCTGCCTTGGCGGGGCTGGGTGGCCTTCATTTGGGCACGAGGAAGGTCGGTGTGCTGGGGGGGGCAGGGCAGTTGGCTGGGTTCTGGGCGCGCGTGGAGGGTTCAGCGCTGGGCCGCCACCGGGGAGCTCAGGATACTTAGAGGACCCCGGAATCCCTTGTCGGCTGCTTTCCCACCTTGCAGACTTCTGGGCAGCCTCGGTTCAGCAGCCGAAAGGCCCAACTGCCCTGAACCTGCCCCATCCTTCCTAGCCATTTCAACCCCACCCCCAAGCATCCCAGAAGAAAGGCACAAGGACCGCCCTGGAGGGAGGCAAGGCTCTGGGGCCAGTCCTCAGCTTTATTAACTCCTTCCACTGTGGCTCCGATGATGAGAGCTTCCCAGCTGACAAAGGGCAGCCGCCTCCAGCCCTCAGCTCTCCTTGGGGGAGGAGAGGAGAGTGCCAGGAGTTGGCGCGGCAAGTGGCGGGGTTGGGGTCACCCCTGGAGTTCAGGCCCCAGTCCACCCAGGGTGGCGTAGCGGTGTACAGCCTCTCACTTCTGGGCAGGGATCATGTCGTCGATGGCCTGCCCCTTCTCCAGCTTCTTCTCCATCTCCACCATGAGCTTCACGCCGTCCACCACCTGTTGCACTTGTTCCACCTCAGAGGAGCCCAGGCGGTCAGCATTGGAGATGTCAAAAACAGCGCCCACTGCTGCGGTGTCCACGCCACCTGGGGAGGAGGACAGCGCCCACTGAGTCAGCTCTCCCTCTCCAGCAAAGGGCAGACCCCTTGGGGACCCCAAAGCATGCTGCTGGATTAGGGCTGGAACAGTCCAGAGGCTGGAAGCTGAGTTGGCAGGCTCAGCCAGACTCCTGTCCGGGGGACAAGAGAGACACAATTTCCTAGCACATTGTGCGCAAATGCCAGCTGCTGGGATGTGGGTCTCCTTGCACAGATGGCTGGATAAAAAATGCATGCAAACATGTTGCCTTTTAAGCTGCCCTGAAGACAGTCTTGAAGAGCACAGAACAAACATGTCAGAAAGAAGATGGGGTGCAGGTGGAACGGAGCGCTCTTGGGGAAGAAGTGAATCCACCAATTCCTCCTCCTTCCCCAGGATAAAGTGTGTGTGTGTGTGTGTGTGTGTGTGTGTTGCAATATACTGTAAAATAGCAGAGCACCCAGTCCTCTTTTGCAACATCTTGCATGCTTATTTTAAGCTCCAGACGGTGAGGGGGATGGACTGGCAAGCCATCCATTTGCCCAAATTAAACTGGCATCCCTGTTCCGTGCCACACACACTCCTTGCCATCTCCCTGACCTGTGCCACGTTTCTGCAGACGGAGGCGCTTGAGAATCTCTTCGAACTTGGCGTGCTTGCTGAGACAAGGCAGCTTGACGTGGACACCACCACGCAGGCCGGTGCCCAGGTTGGAGGGGCAGGTCAGGATGTAGCCCAAGTGCTCGTTCCAGCTGAACGGGTGGCCAGCTTGCTTGAAGATCTCCTCGATCTTGTCAGGTAGACGGTTTGAGGGGGGCAGAGATTGGCATTGGATTAGTGGCAAAGCAAGCAGTGCGCACATCTCTCCTTTCTCCTCACCTTCACAAGGTCTGGCTCTCCCCGTGGGAGTCTGGCACTCCTTGCTGAGTAGTGCCAATGGCCGAGAAGTGGGTCTGCACCATCAGCGCCACTGACATGGGATAGAACCACGGGTCATTCCCACAACTTTTGGGGTCTCCCAGAGCCACTAGGATGCTGCTCGGCCACCAAGCCATCTTGGCCAGGGCCGTGATCCCGTGATGCCCTCTCCCACCTGGCGGAGCCAGCCAAGAGGGACCTCGCCCCCCTGCCAAGTTGCCCGGCCACTCACCTTCTGCAGGCCCACACAGAAACGCCGGAAGACCTCCTTCATGTTGCCGCCCTTCTGCATGGAGATGACCCGGAGGTGGTCCTCCTCGTTCACCCACACCAAGAAGGTCTTGTTGTCATTGTGCCTGAGGGAGAGATGGAGAGGCCTCAGTGCCACCAGCCTGCTGGTTGCCCAGGGTTAGTCGGCATGAGGTGCACAGCACAAAAGTATGTTGAGGTTTGGTCATCGCACGAGCATTTCTGCCTCCTCGGCTTCCTCCCACCTGTCCAAGATAGCTTTCAATGGCTGTGCCCGGGGCAGTGACAGACGGAGCAAATTCAGGAGCTGGTTGTGGAAAGCAGAGGCCGCTAGAACAGCATATGGGCCACAGGGGTGGAAGACGGGTGCCCCAGATACGGAGGGGTTCCCCGGCCACTCCTCCCACCAGCCCCACACAGGGAGGATGCCAAGTGGGCCAGCCCAGGACCTGGCCAGGGACCCCGCTTACCAGATGCCCCTGGCGTCCGGCCAGTCGCGGGCCATGCCGGAAGCGAGCAGCAGTGGGGAGACGGGCTTGTCGAAGAGGAAGTGGTCGTCGATCAGCTGCTGCTGTTCTGCATCGGTCAGGCTCTTGAGGGGGTAGTACTTGCCCTTGAACTCTCCGGTCAAGCTGTTCAAGGCTGGGGAGGAAGGGGGGACACAGCGCAGACCACCCTTAGCAAAGGCCGCTGCTCCAGCATGCCGGCATCTTTTCCCGCCCCTCTTCATTCTCGCAACAAGGCTCAGTGTGGCGTTCGCCGTGTGTGTCTCAAATAATACTACAGTACTGGATGCTGAAATCAATTTCCATCCATTCTTAAATGGAATTATTAGAGGTTTAAACTTTACACCTCCTCAGTTTTGACCCTGATGGTTGAGTCCCCTCTGGCCTCCTGACTTAGACCTGAGATCTGTGAATGCTGGACACGGCCACCTGATGGGGATGTGAAATATTTGGGAGACCCCAAGCAGTGGTGTTGGGAAGCCCCCCCGTAGAGCTCGCGCCGCCTGGTAGACCCAGCTAGCATGGGTTGGCTTTTCATAATCTGGCCTTCTCAGGGGACCCCGGCCACTGCATTCAGCCAGCCAAGGGTGGACTGGTCAGGGTTCAGTTAGGCTTGGGGTGTATTGTTGCGTGAACCCAGCCAAACAGAGTAACCAAACTCCGAAGTTTGGGTAGAGACCCACTCGTTTTGGACAAACTGGCTACACAGACACCACTCCCCCCATCATTCTTTCACTCTTACCAGTGATGGAAAGTTTCTCCACAGCACGGCGCTCTCCACGGCTGCAGTGGGGAGGCAGGCTGAAGCCCTTGATGCTACGGCCGGTCCGCACACGGCTACTGAGCACATAGTTGGGGTCCAGATCATCACCACCCTGCAGGAAAGGCAGGAAGAGGGATTCTCTCTCTGTACAGGTTTACCACCCTCCTCAGGCTGGGCTTTGGGACCTCGGTCTGTGGAACCACCTGTCCCCTCCTGTGGCCTCCCACCGCACACCTGGAGGCACCTCCCTGGGGCTACTCTGGTACATCCGGAGAGCCTCCCACACACACTTGATCTTTTCACGCTGCAAATGGCCAGGTGCCATCCAGGCAAAGCAACCTCTCCCCCACTGCCCCCACCTTCAGATTTTCGTGGTTCAGGTCAGTCTTGTGCTTGTCGGTGGGTTTGTAGCCTCCGTGACGGTCACAGATGACGATGTCAAAAATGTCCTTGAATGTTACGTAGCTTTCGTCGTCGCCAGCCACGCAGCCCACAGTCATGATGTAGGGGTGGCCTGCAAGGCAGAGGGGTTTTTAGCAGGGGGCATCCAAGGCCCTCTCTTGAAAGACCAGGGGGCTGGCAGACCTGGAGGTCACCTTTCTCCTGTCCAGGGCCCTGGCCTGGCACCAGTTCTCTTCTATCTCCCAGCAACA